ACAATTTTCTTTACAAAAGGTAACTCTATGAATGATATGTTGCTTTCTAGTAAATGAATGGATTTTTATTACTTTAACATAGTAATAAATTAATTAAACTAAAATAGCACTAAAAATTTTTGGTTTTTTGCTTCCATCCCTGGGTTCTACCATTGATTCATTTATAGATCAACAATATTGAAAAAAAATTTTGCTGAGTATATACAGACTTTTTTCCTTTCCATTATTCCCTAAATGATACAGTGTAAGAACTAGTTACATGGCATTTAAATTTTATTAGTTATTTTAAGAAATTAAAGATGATTATAAAGTATATAGGAGGATACATGTATGTGATGTGCAAATACTATGCCATTATGTGTGAAGCACCCAGAGTACTAATGATCTTAACATGGACAAGTTCCCCAAGGACATCACATGATGGCTAAATCAATTGGTAAATTAGCTTAAAATAGTGATACAAGAAGGAAATTTATTTTGTAAAGGCTATTTTTTTATTTGCTGGCCTAGTGATAAGTCAGGACTCATTCTTAATTTACCTTCATTTTAATTAATTAGTCAGACAATTTATATCCCTGTTGTTTTCCCATTCATATTGTCAACTAATCCTCTGAAAACGGCTCATTCACTCAACCAATTTTACCTACCTCCTAGAAGGCACCAGGCCAGGCAGAAATTACAAGCATTCCTTGACCACAAAGAGTTTACAGAATGACAGTATTGTGTTTGTAAAACTGGAGAAATCTGGATGGTATATAGGACTTATAAAGTATACCCCAATCAGCCTAAGGAAAGCAAAGATAAAAAATATCAGAAAAGAGGTGATGGGTTAGCTTTAATATGTAATATATAATATTTAAGATTTTTATTCCTTAAGAGGGTCACTGTGCTATATGATCAGAATGCAGGTGGAATTTTAACTGAGGAAACTACTGAATCACTGGCAGAATGGCATTCGTGTAAGTGCCAATATGATACGAATACTGGGTGAAGAGAGCTGGAGGCCAGCAACTAGGCAGGTGGTTATATATGTAGGTGGGTACAGGTGACTCTGCACCCTTTGCAGCATGCAACTAAATTTGAATAATGCTCTTTAAGAGACAGAAGTTCTTTGAATTTCTTTAAATTTTTAATTAAAACTTTATGCAATTATGGTTTCATGTGCAGTTGTAGGAAATAATATAGAAACACACTGTGTATCCTTCATCCAGGTTTTTCCAGTTGTTTCTTTGCTTTTTGTGGCCCACTATTTTACCTATCTTGTTATGTGTTCTGTAAGCAATTAAAGTGTTTTATGTTGTTGGAAAGGGGAATCTCCTGTAAATATCTATTAAATATCTTGATTAATAATTTTTTACTATATATTTATTGACTTCCTGCTGTTGTAACAGTTATTGATAAGGATATTGAATTGAAGAGAGCCCAGAAATCACAATAATAGGGATAGCCTAGAAAAGAATAACACTAAAGGGAGAAATATCTGTCCTAAAGGCTCGTAGCCTATCTAATGATAATCTGAAATATGCAACTGTATTCCACAGGCAAAAATCAGACTGGATGCCCAAGCACAGAATGGGATTCCTTGAAGATGGCATACTAGCTGATCGTCAGCACTGGATATACGACATGGAACATAAAAAAGAGAAAAAGCTTGTGATAGGTATTAAAATAATAGATGCAAAGATAAATAGAGTGTGAGATGTAAGGACAATGAAGTTAGAATCACTTGCAGGTTCTTAACTTGGATGACTGTGTGGACGGAAGTAACATTAACAGAACAACTGAAGCACATTTTGCCAGAAAGAGTGGACCGCAAAGCATTCAATTCACGTCAACTTAAGTATAAATATGTACAGACCATCCAGGAATGTCTAATGATAGGATGATATTCCAAAGGTCTGATGTAGAAAAGGGGTTAGGAGCCTTGGTTTAATTAATAATACTCAACTCTACCTGCAAAGAAATCACCTAGGAAATACAAACAGAATGAGAAAAGAAGTCTAATAAATGCCACTGTCTAGGAGCAATGGAGAGTAACCAAGAGAGGGAAATGACATCCACCTACCAAAGAAGAGAGGATGGAAAGGAAAGTACAATTTAGTTCTCCAGTCTTTTGCTGAGTGCTTAATATGTGAAGTGCACTGCCCGGAAGCCTGGATTTTCTTATTCTTCCACTCGTCTCGATGTAAACAAGTTATTTCATTACAGTGTGATCAGCTTAGTGATATACATGCTCAGTGCGTAATAGAGAGATAGCAAAAGGCACTGAACGTAGCCTAAGACAGAAAAAATAAACTTTTAAGAGATGATAAAAGATAAGCAGCATCTTCCTTCCAGCATAATAACAAGCCAGGTAAGCAAAGACAAAGGGAAAGCGACATCAGGAAAAGGCACTGCACCGACAATAGCAAAGGTGAATAGACCTTAAAAGAGAAGACAAAATTCCCTAAACGGAACAGTCAGCAGAGCCAGCACTGCACCGACAATAGCAAAGGTGAATAGACCTTAAAAGAGAAGACAAAATTCCCTAAAGGGAACAGTCAGCAGAGCTGAATGCTACTGAAAAAGAAAATAAAATCAGATTGGAAAAGGCCCTTTGAGTTTTCCACTTATGAAGTGACCTCGGCTACGGCTACAGCAGCTTCTCTGAAGAGAAGGGGACAGAAAGCAGCCTACAATAAGATGAAGAGTGAATGAAGGAATGTGAAGTTTCATGATACCGCGGGATCACTTTGCAAGGAGTTTAATGAGGAAGAAAATACAGGCAGGACAGTTAGAATTTTCTCAAGGGCCTAAAAAGGCTTTGTTTTATGGTCAAAGAGAATTCAGGACATTTACAAGTTGCAGAAAAGAAAGTAGAATGAAGAAAAGGTTTCAAATGTAGTTTACTTTATTCACTCATTCACAAAACAAATATTTATAGAAACTATGCAGTGTTCATCAGTTCATCACGCCAACACAAACAACCAAACTCTCTTGACGGTGTTAGCATCATGTTTTAAGCAAACTTGGAAAACACAGAAAGTCAATGGTAAATAGCATAAAATTATATCTCAATTCTACAGTCAGCTTAAGTAGTTATAAATACTTACAATAGTAAATTCTGCTTTGTCACAATTCTACAAAAAAACTGCCACCGTTCAATATAAGCACACACTATTGAGATTTTGTTTGCTTCAGGGGGAATAGTTATCTCAGAAAGAATACCTATTCTGTTGCAAGGACTTTAGTAGTGAACAGATATGTTAATACTATCTTATGTTGTAGTGATTACAAATGACCAAGTGCATATCAACTCATAGCACATAATACAAGTAATGTGTTGTAGTGCATGATGGTTTAACATTCATCAAAGTTTGCCTAAATACGGTTGAGTATTCAGAGACAGATAAGCAGCCAGCTAACAACGATGGAACACAAAGGCGAAGGGACCAAGAGAAAGTTCTGATGCTAGAAATTAGCGTCTCATAGTTACTTTTTTTTTTTTGAGTCATTGAATCGAAGACTGTTAGCAGTGTAAAGTTCCTTGACATCATCTAATGCTTGTCTTCGTAAACCACACGTGAACTATTCTTCTTCACTTTCACCAAGTGATTTTGAGGGACTATATTACATGAAAGAGAACCTTCTGGGGTCAGGGATGCAGCTCAGCTGCACAGCCCCTGCCTGGCAAGTGTGAGGTTCTGAGTTTGATCACCAGCCCAAAGAGGGGAGCCTTCTGCTTCTACCCATTTGGCTACCATATAAATATTTAAATTGTTCTATTATTCCTAAATCTAACTCTATATTTCTGCGTGCTAGAAATAGTTAATTTATATGTGGCAATTCTTTAGATTGCAAAAGATACAATATATGCATGTTGGGCATATTGCTTTTAGTGTAACCCCTCCCACTTTCATTAGCTCTTGTATGTTATTTTCTTTCCATTCTGGCTCCCTTCTTTCAGGTGTTTTATAACTAGTTAATTTTTAATCTTCTCCATTTTACCAAACAAACTTTTAATTGTAAAAAAGTGAAGTTATAACACTGAATATGATGAGTATTTTTTAAAGTAATCCTACCAACAGCATATGTTTAAAGCATGGACAATTGTAATACTCAGGGATTTAATGCTATAAGCTACCAGCAGCTACATTTCTCCTATTTAATTTCTGAATTATGTTTCAATTTAAATATCTAATGTAAATATTTCTGCAGTTTTGTATTTTATTAGCCTTGCCCCAAATGTCCAGGATCATTCTGAATGATAATTTAGCAAACTGTCACATTGGTTATCTCTCCAAGATTTTGATCTCCTACAAATCTGATGGGTATGTCATTTAAGCCTTCACATAAGCATTGATAAAATGAAAGAGAATAGACATATAAGGAGATTTTCTACTACAAACTCAAAAACTTTATTCCAGGGTGACATTAACATATTTTAAAGAAATCTACAGTCTTCTCTCCTTTGTATGTAAAGTTCTTATCAAAAGCCTTGGGAAATATTTAGCTATAGTTAAGACAAAATATGTTTGGAAATCCAATAATTTTCTACAAATACAAGAAATGCAAATGAATGTTGCTTGTTTTATGATAACTATTTCCTTCTCAATGTCTCTGAAATTAGTATCAGTTTAGAGATCCTTTCTAGAAATCTAGAAGAGGTAGGAATTAAGCCTATTAATGTATGTTGTCCAGAATTTATTTTTTATTGACTTTGTCCTTCGATGTAATTGAAATAGCTTTTATTTCCTACATTTCTCTTTCTCTTCTGAAATCTACTTTTAACTCAAAGAAGATATAACTGTCTCCTATCTCCATCAAAATTTTACAGCTCCTACTCTAGAGACCTTCTGAAAACTTTTCAGTAAAGTATTATTTATATATGTGATATTATTTTTGTTTTCTTTATTTTGTTTTGTTTTTTGATACCAGGGATCGAAATCAGGACCATGCATTTGTGAGGCAGGTGGCAGAACCACTGAGCTAAATCCCCAGCCCCATTTTTATTTTCTTACCTCATATAAAACTGTAGTGTTCCCATGCAGGAGAGGTCCGTAGCAGATGTAGGAATGTCCAACAACCCAGCCTAAGTCAGAAGCTGCCCACCATACCTAAAAAATAGGAAGATAATAAAATGCATATATGTGTTAATCAGAAAAACTTCATGTGGTGTAAAACTAAAACCGTGGTTACCTCTCCAGGTTTAAGTCCATATATGGAAGACATCGTCCAGTTTAGCATTACAGCGTATCCCCCAGTGGGCCTGACCACACCCTAAAGGAGAGAAAATGTGAAGTTAAAATTAACTGAAAATGTGTAAAATATTTGCCATCTTTATACTATTTGAAAATTTCCAGGTTGAAAGTAAACACCAAACTACTTTGACTTTTATACAATTATTTGAATCATTTCTTTCACTTCTCCAACAATAAACCCATAATAATTTGTCCTGATCAATGTTATTTGTAAAATCCCTTTTCACATGACATCCTTGACTTTCTAAAGAAAACTTAGGGTTTCACAAAATTACACACAACAAATATTTTTTCTATGCTGAGACATATGACTCAACATAAAATTTTCAGATATGATGTCAGAAGGAAACAAATTAAGTGAGTAAAAAATTAAAATTTGACCATATGCCTAAAGTGTATTCAAGATATGGTCATCTATTTCCTAAGATGCTTAAAACATACTAGACTGCTTAGAGCAAACAAAGTCATAGTCTAAGAGCCCAGTTACAGTGATAAGTAGAGGTCATGCAAACACAGTACCAAAGTTGAACAACTCTTTAATGATGAATTCTGCAACTCTGAGAAGTGAATCTTGATAAGTTGGACCTTATGCTAACATATTTGCCTAATATTGAATTTGAAGTAAAAACTAGAGATTGTTAGGTGATTATTGTGCAGTTTTCACAAGTCAGTTTTCAACAGCTTTCCTCACTCAGTATTGTGAACATATTCAACTTCAATAACAAGTTATGAATTCAAGTTACAAGAGTCATCATAAATAAAAGCTGATGTTAAAATTAATAATTTCATTTACTGCTTTACCATGAAAAATTATCATTAGCCCAATAGGACAGAACCATATCAATATCCAGAATAAGCAGCAATAAGAAAGAAGTAAAGAAAGAGGGCTGGGGATTTAGCTCAGTGACACCTTGCCTGCCTTGTAAGTGCAAGGTCCTGAGTTTGATTGCCCCACATACACCATACTGAAAAAGAAGGAAGAAAGGAAGGAAGGAAGGAAGGAAGGAAGAAAAGGGAGGGAGAAAGAGAGAGAGAGAGAGAGAGAGAGAGAGAGAGAGAGTCACAATATACTCTCATGTATTTGAAGTACCTTTTAGTACAATGATTATTGCGGCCCTATATAAAATTCATATTAATTATTTTAAATAAAAGGGTAAAGAATGAATTTGCTACTAATTGTAGTTTATCTCTGTCCCTTTAAAACATATATGCAAATCAGAAGAATGGAAAAGAAATGGACTTTCTGTTAGTTAACAAGAATCACTGCTCTCCTCAAGTACCACAAATAAAACAGGTGTCAAGCTGTGAAACATTTTATCTGCTTGCAACAACACCTGGTCTCCTGGCAAATATCAGATGCAGCTTTGTTGGCATTTGAGAGCTATCCCCAGGTTCTATGACATGGTGAGCCTATATCTGGCTTTCTTGATCACCTTGGGAATATTACAAACCCTAAGTCCTCTGCCAGCAAGCTTGACACATGCTGTTCACCAAGTACACTGAGCAACTATTTTCCACTACAGTGTACCCCATTTTAGGAGCACTTTGTGGGCTGGGGATTTAGCTCAGTGGTTTGGTGGCCTGCCTTGCAAGTGCAAGGACCTGAGTTCAATCCCCGGTACCAAAAAAAAAAGAACACTTTGCTAATTATTTGGAAAGTCTTGTCCCATGGCCCAATAACTTGAGGAATTAGATATTAATCACTTCGAACAACTATTTTCTAGAAAATTGTATTTATTGGACAGAGGAGAAAAGTACAGTATTTTTTGTAGACAAAATACTGTATATATGTTATGGTAAGTAGCAAAATTTAATGTCAGTAGTGATTTAACTTAAACTGTTTTAAATTTTTTTCTAGCCACTTTACATGTCCATGCATTTACAGTGCATTTGTATTAACAATTCTAAAATTATTGTAATAGAATACATTTGTAGATTATATGATGCAGATGGTAAATGCATTTTCCTGGAAATGATGAAAAGAAATGAAAAAACTAAGTATACACTAAGCAGCAATTCAGTTGGAAAACCTATAAGATAAATTCACAGGTAAATTAACAAATTCCTATTTCTCTCTCAAATCAGTGTTTCTGCAAATGATGTTTACCAACATTGCTTTAAAATTCAATGAATACTTAAATCTATCTGACAAAAAATAAATAAATAAATAAATAAAAAGGTGAGACTTAAAAACTTAAGCAAGCCATGAATGAAAAAGTATGTAAAATTTTAAACCCCGAAAATTTATCTTTGTGTTAGGTATTGTCAGGGCCTTGAAAATCACCAAGCATATACTCTACCGCTTAGCTATACCCCAGTCTAATATTTAAAGTCTTTTGAGCAATATTGCTTTCTTCATCTTAGAATGTATTGCTTTTTATTTTGCTATGTCATGATATCAACCAAAAAGGTGAAATGTCAAAATAGTTAGAAGTTTTCATCAAAAATTTTCATCAAAAATAATAAAAATGGACTTGAAGTCATAATTTTTGTTTTCATTGGTCTTTACATTTCATTTTAATTTTTGAAAAGGATAAATATAAAAAAATCTTAGTTCAGCATCTTTTTACCATTAAATAATATAAACTTTAGATTGGCAGTCTGGTCTGGCCTCTAAAAATATACAGATGACACAATTTTTAAATTTCTGTGTGCTTCATATGGCATAGATAAAAACAGTACAGCTATGGTCAGTAGCAGTACTTACTGTCAGTAATAATTTAACTTAAAATGTTTAAAAATTTTCTATATAGATATTTTATAAGAAGTTTAAAAAAGAAAGATTAGAATTTAACATATTCTTTATTATAAATGTAAATTTTTGAATAGCATAAAAAAACAAACTTTTTTTTTGTTTGTAATCATATTTACCAGATAATGATAATTCCAATGCAAGGGAGAAATCTATTTACCTCATGAAAACATGTCTTTTTAAAAATTATATTTAATAAAGAAAACTAATCACAAACAAAAGGACACTGTTGTGACTGTAGACAAGTTCTCGCTGTGTTGCCTAAGCTCGCCTGAACTCCTGGCCTCAACTAATCCTCCTGCTTCAGCCTCTAGAGTAGCCAGAACTACATACACACCATGCCAGGCTCTAAAAGTAGCACTTTTAAAGTATATCTGAAATCTGAGGCATGGAGTAAAAGTATTTATTCATCACAAATGCTTACCCCTAAAAAACAAGCTCCTTGTATTTTAGTTTTAAATCTCTGCTATACATTCTATATGTACTTACATTCTTCTTACTTTATATTCTTATATACCTTAAAAGTAAAAACATCAAGTAATCAAATATTCCAAGAAATCTTTGTATTTTGCCAATATACTGTTCCTGAGGTGTTTTGTTATGCTTTGTGTTTTTTTCTGTAGGATCAGCCACAATCCAGACACAGGTGGGAATAACATGCTGAGTTCCAAATGAAAACATGAAAATTAATTCTATCTCAGCAATGGGAAATAAGATGATGTAAGGGTCCACTTTCTTTTCGACAGTTTAGAATGTACACAGTATGCTAAAAAGTCATTCTCTACAGGAAAAAATAATTATTACTGGTCACCCAGGAATGGAACCAGAATTGCCACAGAGAGTTCTTTAAGAAACCCAGCTGCCTTTAAAGGCAAAGAAAAGCTACAAAATATTATACATGAAGCCATTAAAGTAAAACAGAAAATTTCACTTCATGAAACTTCAAGAAAACAATTGGAACTATAGGTACTGATAAGCAAGAGAAGGGAAGACCGAGGTATAGAGTAAAATAAGATCTGGGCACACTTCATTCTAAAAGGGATGTGTGTATGTCTGTGTATGTGTGTGTGTGTGTGTGTGTGTGTGCGAGTGTGTGTCTGTGTGTGTAAATCTGGATGGCAAATCTTAGAATTCCAAGGCCAAAAATGATTGGCGTATACTGTAAGACTTTATACTATGTTGAGCCTCTCTCTCACTTAAGTTATAAAACACTTATACATGTTTTATTCATATATATATATGTGTGCTTGCATGTATGCACATTTACTTCAACCCAGTCTGACTAGCTGAGGAAAAAAGCAAAAGAGATAGGAAATATATATCATACTTGATGCAAAAAAATCCATGCCAGCTGTAATGGCACACACCTGTAATCCCAGTACTCAAAAACCTGAGACAGGTGGATTGCTATAAATATGACGCTAGCCTGGGCTATATAGTGAGATCTAGGCCAGCCTGAAATACATGAGAACCTGTTTCAACAATCAATCAAACAAACAAGCAAATAAATTAGAAATCTAATACCAAAGGATGGTTGGAGTTAGAGAATAATGAGAAAAATAGTTGTGATTTACACAAAAATTCTGCACACCAATGATAGTCTTGTCATGATAATGACTATTGGCATCACTCCCTCTGTCTAGAATGAGTTCCCAGTCCTTCCCAGAATATGATTAGTTCCTACTTACACCCACAAGACACTGTCTTAGCACTGCCTCCCCTGGGCACATGCCTCACCTCTCAGTCAGCAAGCTGCGCACAAGCATTTTGCCATACACAATGGCAGCCATTCTCCCAGCTGTTCTTTCCCAGCTTAAATATCCTTTGCTAATCAGTCAGAAGGTCTTTTCCCATGGCTTACTAAATTGAGGAATTAGACAGCAATCGCTTTGCGAATTTATTTTTTCTAGAAAATATCATGTATTGTGCAGACGATAAAAAATATAGCTTCTTTTGTGGACTACATGTTGTTCCTTTCCCTTTGCAGGTAGCAATACCTGTGGTGTTGTGTGTTTCTCCCTTCTGTCCCTCAGTCCCGAGGGACAGCCAACCTCATCAGAGCATTGGTGTCACCAGCCCATCTTGGACCTGCTCCGCCTCTCAGTGCTGCGAGGCTAACACCTTTGTATCTTCAGTGCCATGTCTGGGGTAGAATAGGCATTTCATGCATTTGTTGACTGAGTGAATGAACAGTGGTGTGAAGAAACTCTAGTGGGAACAATGCAATTCTTAAAAAAAGACCTTTCTTTGTTCAGGAGAAACCCTTG